AGATGACAGATATGCAGCAGCTGTGTGAAGCTCTCGGGTTAATATAAACCAAAATATCTGAGGAATATTTCCAGCATTTTGCTGAATCTCCACAAAGAATTAAGTCAGTTCTGAGGACAAAAGGGCTCCAATCTAGTACTAGGAATGTGTACCTAATAAAGTGACCAGAGTATTTTATTAGTAAAATATTAGCTTTCATTATCATATTCAGATCATCCTGCTGTTCATTTGTTTGTGTGGTTTTTTTCTGTTTGTTTTTTTATATTGTGTGCTAATCTAGTCACAAAATTGAGCACTTTAACACTCTAACAGCTTCTTGACAGTTTAGCCTCTGTTAGAATCACTGAGAAACTCTTAAACTGGTTTAAATATTTTCTCTCTGGCTCCTGTCGGTTCAACCAAGTCATAAAATGTAAATTCCCAAGAATTCTCATTTCCAATGCGGTGTTCCCAAGAGATTTTTCCTGAGATCTCTTTGATTAAATTTCCACTGTTATTGTGGGCCTCTGGAACTCCTTCCCACCAGACATCAGTTACAATGACTCTCTCTTCACTTACAAGCAAGCAGAATATGAAATGTTTGGTTTGTTAAATATGAGAAAAAGGTCAAGTTGCTAAAGCTTAGGGAGACTCAGGGTCAGAATATTGACTATGACATGACCAACATTTTCTTGTCACTATTTTCTTGTGTCCTTGTGTTGAAGATGAAGTTCTGGATAACCAGCAGGTCTGTGACCAGAAGAGGAGCTCCGGTCTGGACCAGCAGGACCCAGAGCCTCCACAGACTAAAGATGAACAAGAGGAAATCTCCCTCAATCAGGAAGAAGAGCAGCTTTCACTGAAGCCAAAAACCAAAGATGTCATCGTCTGGACTGGGCAGGAGCTGGACATCATGTGGAACCCTGAAGTAAAGTTGCAAAGAATAGGTATGTGTGCTTCCTAAAGTCCTCAATAAATCTCCACTGTCTTCTGGGCATTCAGCACCAGGTTGTTGCGGCTGCACCAGGACACCAGACGTTCAGCCTCCATCCTGTAGACAGACTCATCCCTGTCCGAGATGAGTCCAATAACGGTGGTGTCAAACTTAATCAGCTTGACAGACTGGTGGGTGGAGGTGCAGCAGTTAGTGTACAGGGAGAAGCGCAGAGGAGGACCAGGATTTGCCATTATTAAAACTCACCCTGGCACAATGCCGTCCTTGCAGAAGTGGATATAGGAGGTGACAGTGTCGTAAACTCATCCCAGCCTTTAGAAGTAGCCCTCAATGTGTCCCAGTCTGTAGATTCCAAGCCGTGCGTCTCTCCACCACAGCCTCGTTACTCCAGTTTTTTAGTCCTCACAACAGGTTTGAAGAGCTTCAGCCTCGCGGGCATCAGAATGATCATGACGTGGTCAGAAAGTCCGAGTGCAGCACATGGCACAGCGTGATAGGCTTCGCTAATCGTGCTGTAACTGTGATCCAATGTCCTCTCCTCTCTGGTCGAGTATACTGCTTATATTTGGAAGTTCCTGGCGCACATCGGCTTTTTTAAAGTCCCCAATTTTGAGGAAAAACAACCTTTTAGCAGAGAGGGGAGGGGCGGCTATCTGCTGCAACCAGTTGGAGGTGAGTGGAGGGGGAGGAAAGCAGAGAGTGCCAGAGTTAAATTCTATAAAATGTGATAGTGGTGTAGTATAAACACACAGCGCGAAAAGAGGTGAGTGAAGAAGAAACACTCAGGCACCATGGGAAGCCCTCGGCAGCCTAATCCTATTCATTGCCTGCTCAGGCAATTTATGGTTAATCTAAATAAAAATGTACTGCAGTAGGTGTCATGTAAAGGTTTTGACTAATTTTTAAATAAACATTTAAGTGTTTTCTGCCATTTAACCGTTAATACAAGCCTTTTATATATCAAGTATTTTGTTTTCTCCTACATTTTGTGTGTTTTGTTACAAATCACCTTTATTTTCTCATCCTTGGTGATCTGTTTATGTTTTATTTGATCTTTGTTCTTGTACAGTTTTGGTATTTGATTGTTGCTGTTATAAATATATGAATCTTTCAGCCCTAATCCCCCACCACAAACACACAGTGTTGTGTTGTCGGTTATGGTATCTTCTCTGTTGGGAGCACATGGAGGCAGGTTGATAACCATGGAGGAGCTAGAAGAAAGAGGTGGTGGTCTGATATCAGTTTTACGCAGAAGGTTTTCATGCAACATTTTGGGGATGAGCATAAGGTTTTGAACTGGAGCAAAAATCTTGGTGAAACACATGTGAGATGTTCAAGGCAAGAGTTTAAGTCAGTTGAACCGTTTTTAGATATGACTGAAATTACATACACATGAATAGATTACTCTTAAACAAAGACTCAACAGTCACCTAATATCATAGAA